TCAAGTATCCACTAAGGGGCAGATATTATCCTTGAACCATTTGCTCATTCTTGAGCCATGGCATCTTGAGCCAATGTTGCGTTTACGCGGAGCAGTTGAAAGGATCTCTGCATCATGACCTGCAAAACAGTGTCATGTGCTAGGGAGAAAAGTTGCTGAAGCAGCCTGCAAAACAGCGCTGTTCCATTGCCATATGCGTACATGTCTCAAAGCTCACGAAGCGATACCTCATGATTGTGAGAGGCATCGAGGTCTGTTCGCACTTGCTGTCCCAATGACGCAACAACAGAGGGGCACAAACACATATAAGGGACAAGGCGGCTGACTTGAACAGAAGACAACCTGGGTACCGGGGGGGTACCATATATATATATATATGCACATGCATGTATATACATATATATATACACACATGTATACATAGTATATATATATATGCACATGCATGTGTGTATATATATATATACACATGTATACATAATATATATATATATATATGACAAAGGATCCTTAAAGGGTGCCCTGAAAAAGGACGAGCCCTCTTATCTCTTATCTCGAACAAACGCGCTGCTGCCCGGCCACTGGAGCAGCGAGGTCAGGAGTTCTGTGGACCTGGCCCACGAGTGAGCCTGGCAGGGGTTCAGTGGTTTAGGGCTTAAGGGTTCAGGGGTTTAGGGGTTTAGGGATTTAGGGTTTAGGGGTTTAGGGGTTGTAGGGTTTAAGGGTTTTAGGGTTTAGGGTTGGGGGTTGAAAGTGGGAGAAGGATCTCGGCGTCTCGGGATTGGGGTTCAGGCTCCGGGCTCAACCCCAAACCCTGAAGCCAGGGATTCCGAGATCTTTTGGGCTGAGGACTCAGAAGGAGACTTGAGGATGTTGGAGCCTATGTAAGCTTCCTTCGGACGCTACTATCTGGGCCTTCATGATTAGAATAGGGTTGTGGGGCATATTCTGCTAAAACTATATCGGGAATATAATGGGGGACAACATTACTACTTGTTCAAGCTTCTACATTACAGGTTTTCGCTGGAAGATTCGCCACCTGCTTTGGGACGTTGGGCTCAGCTAGGAGGTTGGAGATAGGATTTAGGGTACTGAGGGCACCCCTAACCCCTAAACCTAAACCGT